GTACTCGTCAATTTTTTATTATCCTTTTTCTTTTTAATTTTTTTTTTTTTCGAGCATCTGTTTACTCACGACATCTCTTTTTAATCCCTTGAAAGAAGAAATTTTGAAATTTTCTTAGCATCTTCGATCAAGACAAAAATCAAAAAAACTTAAGAAGAAGAAAGAAAAATATAAAGAAAGCAGAGGGAGAAATATAAAACCGAGGGAAAAAAACAAGGACCGGAAACGTGTGAAGTGCGAAATTGGTAACTGTTGATAGGTGCTGTCCGACACTCACTCAAGATTCATGAGTAAAAATAAATTATATTCTTCGCTCATTCGTGCGTTTCAATAATTGAGCAAACAAAGGAATAGACTCATAATCAATAGAAAGATAAACTAATAAAAACGTTCGTTATATTTCGATGAGAAAATTCGCAAAACATAATATCTGCTCATTTATATAATTATTGTTTATTGAAAAAATTTGGTATATTTAACGGTTGATTTACTCTCCTCTGTACTATCCTTTTTTCTCTCGTATTTTCTTTCTTTTTTTGTTCGAAGACTGGTTGGGTTGGGGCTCATGCAGAACAGAGCAAAGAAGGGTGGAATAGGAATAGGAATGGGTGACGAGTACGCATCTATCGAGCGTAAACGATGCTTACCTTGGTGGCTCGTTAACGACCCACATAACAGCCATTCGTGAGAGTGTGTTTTCCCTTTCTTTTGCTTGATCCTTGTAGAGTTAGCCCGTCATCGAAACCAACAGGAGAGGATAACGAGTCCTTTGCAAGAATCGGCTCCCTGCGTTCCTAACCTATCTTTCGCAAACACTCTTTACCTGGGGAATACCCTCGAACTCGTTTCAACGTTCCCGCTACGGAATTAACGATTGTCCTTTTCACCATTGAGCAGTCACGCGTGTCATTTTCCTTATGTGTGCTCTCGACTAAATACCACGTGCACACCCCTTTTAACTCACGCAATTCGTCTAACCATTCAAATTCGTTTAAACGAGCATCGCAGTGATGTAATTCACCATGAAATCCAGGATAGACTTCGTGCATATACGTGTATATACATACGACTTTTAGCTGTCACGTGACTAACAAAAACACGCAGCATTTATTCGTTATATACTTACGGAATATATCTGCTAAGGAAATTTGAGCTTTATTTTATCTTTGAAGACAACGACGAGTATAGAAAATGATAATTAAAAGGAAAACTGAGAATCTAAACGTTCATAGAAATTTATTATGTATTATTTCGATGTGAAATTATTCACTGAGTTCAAAGGGATTCGTCTCCAATGGGGATAACTAGTAAATATATTCGTCGAGAACTCGGACATGTAACGAATGAATATTGCATATCTTACTTTTACTTTCGAATATTGAAATAGATTAAATGACGAAACGTGTTTTCAAAAATATTGTCTATCTTATTTATTATTTACGATTTGATGTCTGTTTCAGTTTTTTATAATATATGTCATGCAACAATCTATTATTATTCAACAAGAAACTTGTTAGAATCCTACATATTGTTATCGCTTCCTACTCTTGAACAATTCATTGCATTTAACGAGCAAGATTGTATTATGTGTTAAAAAGAACAAGGCAACAAGCCTCCGTGGCGCAATCGGCTAGCGCGTTCGGCTGTTAACCGAAAGGTTGGTGGTTCGAGCCCACCCGGGGGCGGATTTCTTTTGTCATCGTAGTCGTTTTTCAATAAAGATCTTTGTAATTGGTTACTGATATATCTATTATTTTTTTTATATACAATTTTGTTCGTATATTTATTATTAATGCATATTTATTTTATTTTTAATTTATCGAGAATTATACTATTATTCAAACCTACAGAAATAAAAATTATTTTATTCTTACTCTTACTTTTCTTCTTTTTTTATCTTCAATTTTTTTTAATTGATTTGAAACTTAAAAAAAAAAAAAAAAAAAAAATGTCACGTTATGCAATTCAGTAACGAAGTAAGAAATATTAATTGATTTCTTAGAAATAGCGAAAAAAAATATTCATATCAAATATCCGCCCAACGTGGGGCTCGAACCCACGACCCTGAGATTAAGAGTCTCATGCTCTACCGACTGAGCTAGCCGGGCTGTTGTCATATTTGGCGTATTACAACAATGACATTAAATGTTAATAAAACAAAAAATGAAATATATTTTTATTAAAGTTATCTCTATTGCATAATTCGATTTTTTCGTATTATAGAAAATTTAAACAGTACTAAATATATTTACAAACACTTTGTAAATATTTGTAAATTGTTTTAATATTGGATTTTTGTTGAAAATTATTAAACGTAAAATGAATAATTATTTGATAATGTTTAAAATGTTATACTTATCAGTTCGATTTATTATACTTATCAATCGATTTCATATCTTAAAAGGCTTTTATTATTTCTCAATTTATTTATTGAGATCATATACAACGTAAATGTGTGAAACTTTTAGAAGAATTTCCTTGTTTTATGAGGCTTTCTAATGTCTACTCGAGGTTAGAAAGTTAACTAGCTTTACTTCACTTTACTTCACTGCTGTTTCTTGAAAACTGTTACGTATATACATAAATATATCTAAAAAGTTCCAGAATAATCCCTTCGATATCTTTTCGAAAGCTGAAACTACAGTTGCGTGTCATTCTTAGATGTATATATACAAATAGAATACTCATGAATTTGGTAAACGTATTTTAGTCTTTTCAAATGTAACAGTTTAGATCATAAATTTTGCTAAGGCCGAATATACTGCCTTATTTTCTTAAAGAAGAATTAAATTGATTTGAAAACTTTAATGACGAACAATTTTTTGCTATAATTTTTCGCGTAAAATATTTTAATTACATTAAAATAATTTTTTTTATCAACGGTTGTTATAATTAAAATAGTTATCGTGAAGTAATAAACGAAAAGCAATAATCTAACAGAATTAAAATGGTTATGAATTATAAATAATATTTTTTTTTAAATAAAATTTAATAATTGTCAAATCATATATATATTTTCGAAGAAATAAGAATAATTGATTTTTTTTAAAAAATTCGAAAAGATTAAATTCAATGTAATAAAACATAGACATAGTTATAAAAAAACATTATCATATATTTTAACTAATAATTATATAAATTTAACAATTTGAATCGAAAATATAATAGAAAATACAAAACAGAAATATTTTTTTTGATAATTTATTACAGTTTTTAAGACATCGTAGAAAAAGATTTTTGCTCTTATTCAGGTCAAGAATCACCCCAAGAGTTTTTAAGCGCTCAGTAATATTTAAGCTATCATAAAATGAACTAAAATCAACAATCAAAGATTATAATTATTAAAAAATAATGTAAAAATAATGAATTAAATAATAATACGAAAAATTAATCGTGTGCAGTTAAAAAATTGACCTAATGCCAATGCGAGGACAATGTTGAATCATAAATAATAAAATGAAGATAACCTATTAACATTTCCATTAAAAAATGTTAAACTAATAAAAAATTTAATTCTCAGAACAATAATAAAAAATTTTTGTTTTAAAAAGATCATCCTGTATAATATAAATATAGAATATGATATAAATATTTAACAAAGTATAAAAAATAATCAAAAATAGTGTGAACCTTAAACAAAGAAATCAAAATCGTCCCCTCCTCGATAGTATAGTGGTTAGTATCCCCGCCTGTCACGCGGGAGACCGGGGTTCGATTCCCCGTCGGGGAGTTTTATATTCATTTTTTTTCTTATTTGTTTATAATTATGCTAATTCTTCATGCTACATAAACACATAGGTACATTACTTAATCGTATAGTATGGATTTTGTATCTTTTTCTTTTAACGTCTTAAATTATATTAATTTTATATAATAACTTTAAAATATTATACTATTTTAATTTTTATATTGTACATATATATATATATATATGCACAATAAGAATAATTGAACATATTGTATATATGTATATATTACTTTATATATATTACTATATATATTTTTTTTTAAAACGTGTTTTGTTAATTATCTAGAAGCGTAGTATAATTTTTATCTCTTCCAACTAAATCTTTAAATAATATATATAATTCTTTCTTAATTAAAAGAATTTTATTAATAAATAATAATATAATAAAAATAGTCAATATATATACATATATTACACGTTTTAAAATTTTTTGTGTAATCAAGATTATATAAAGATAAAGAAAAAAAGAAAAAAGAAAGAAAGTACTTTTTAACCGACGAGGATGGGATTCGAACCCACGCGTGCAGAGCACATTGGATTAGCAGTCCAACGCCTTAACCACTCGGCCACCTCGTCTTCCGTTTAGTTTTGGATTTAATACACAGAACATATTACAATACAAATCTTTTCAATAATTTGTTATTTCTTCAAATTATCGAATTCTTCAAATTAATCTCTCGGCGCAGGAATCATTGAAAAACGAAAATCCTATTATTTCAAATATATAATATCGAATTGCATAGGTTAATGTTATTTATATATAAATAGAGAATAATTTGAGATCGTAGAATAAATTAATAGTACGACAAATCAAAAGATTGTTCAATAAATTCACAGGTAGAAAAGCTTAATGAAATTAAATCTATAGGAAATTTCGAGAAACTCTGAATCTGGATAATGACGTAATTTAAATATAGTTCATTTATAAAAATATTAGATATTTTACCTATAATTTATTCGTATAAAGAAGCCAATTTATTCGTGAATGAAAAAATAAAAGTCGTGCGCTGTTTTCCAAGATACATGCTAGAACGAAAAACCTTATTTTGGCTGGCTGCCAGAATTTATTTGCTCGCAATGCGACCTGTCCGCCATTGTCGCGCGGAAATTTTTTCAGATTGTCGTTTCGTTGTCCGTTGTTCTTCGAATAAGAATGGCCGTTGTTTATTACGTACGTATGCTTAACACATATGGGTAAAAAATAGATGGATAAAAGCACATAGATATATCGAAAAATTTTTTTGAAAAGAACGAAGGAAAAACGAGAAATGTGATGATCGATTCAATGATCGATTCAATGATCGCCCATTACTAAAAAGCAACGAGAAGGTACTTTTTCCGTAAGACAAGTAGTTTCCTCCAAGGTGCCGAAATTGGCCCTTAAGAGGACTTCCGCAATTATCTTCTCGGCAATGATACTTTGTCGAGGCATTGACTTTCTCAATTTGCCGGCAACGTAACGACCAAAAGTCTCAAAATGGTCATCGCAGCTGGCAAAATGTCTCGGCGAGAGTTCGCGACTCGATTCCTTCGGTTGATGATCCTGAAAATTTTCCTGTTGATACTTTCTTCTCAGGTAATCGGTCTGCGCGGTGTTCGATATTCTCCTCGCGTATGATCCTTCAAAGATGATCGGTTGAAAAGCTGGGACAGAGCTAGCTCCCGGTGAGGGTACGGGTGACGGTGGCTCGATCTTGTCTACATCCGTTTGCACAGACTAAAAAACAGTTAGGTTGCCAGCTGTAATTGAATGATATACGGATATATGGGCTATAGTGGCGATCGAAATATAGCATATGAGTAAACGATGAAGAAGTGAATGCACATAAACAGTGAACGTTTAATATCCAAGAGAATCACCCGATTCATCGTTATGAACGTTATATATGTTATCGCATCGCGTCGAGTCGGATCATATTACACCCGTGTCCAAATATGTTTTCGACGAAATAAATAAGTGTTTTATCTAAACATCCAATAAATATTTCGTATATATGAAACAATTGAGTAAACGAATGAACGATCATTTTTTTTTTCCACTTTCCTTTTTTGATTTCGAACGTAATTCCTGCGTGCTAGCGCATGTTGAGTTTCTGGATCGATAAAGTGCCGCAAAGAGAAAGAGAAATAACGAGAGAGCGATGGCTAGAGAGAAAGAGAGAAAATGAATGAAAGGACGAGCGAAAATGAGAGGAAAAGATGGGAATGGAAGAAGAGGCAGAAGCTCGATGTTCGGTATCAACCATATCGAAAGATATGTATGTATTATTCGAGAAATCTCTCTCTCTCTCTCCTCGACTTTTATCATATAGTCGCGATGTACTATGACGCGTTACGAAATGATGAAATGCAAGTAAGTATTTCTTTTTTGCGTGTCAATAAATTTATGAGAAATTTCATATCCTATTTTGAGAATCAAATAAAGTCAAATAAATTTGCTCAATCGTTTACGTATTGGAAGGAGGAAAAGAATGGAAATGAATAGTGGTAGATAAATAGAAAAAGGATTTGTAAGAGAAAGAGAAAATAAGAGAGGAAGGTCTCGATTCGCGCAGTCTTGAAAAAAATTGTACGAGGTCGTACCATCATCTCCTCTTGAGAGAAATCCGTTGGGTTAACCAAAGCATTCTTAACGTCCCTTTCTTCGTCCAATGGACTTGTCTCGTTCTGTTCCGCGACAAATTTTAAAATATCGTAGTACCATAACGAAGATTTGTATCGTTGCCGAGGATTTTGGACCATCCTCTGCGAGCTCCGTACTTTCTTGTATTCCCTTCTGAATGCAGTTCGGAGAGTATTAATTTTTCGTATCACGGTCTCTCTATCAGCTATCGGATTAACTTCCCTTAATTTCTGTACAAGAGCGTCGTAAGCACGATTTCGAAGCAATCTGTCTTTATATCCTTTATACTTAATCTGCCATAAGCAGGGAAAACTACGATAAAGTTGAATAAATTCTGCAAGAAAGTCGTGCGAATATCCGATCAAATCTGAAGTCGACATTGTTGCGTTCACTCGATTCTTAAACGAATTAAAACACCTTTAATAAATCTTCCAAATGCCAATAAAATGCAGTAGTTTGAAACAACGATTCATTGCACCGCAATAACAATTTACGACCGAACAACATACGCGAAGAAAAGTAGGATAAACGGAGCGTGGATGACTACGCTCGACGTCCAACTGAGGGACCGCTACTCAACACGAGTTCACAAGCTGATCAAACGTTGTATGCTGGTACGCCTGACTTTGAAAACGCGTGTATATACGTTTGCTCAAACCACCTTGTTGTCAATCAGTTCGCTCTCCCTCCAGAAATCAGAAGTTTACTCGTGCTTGTGCAAGCGGTTCTACCACACTTGACTCTCGCAATGACTCACTTTCGCTTATTTTCAGTTTCTTCTTTTTCTTCTTCTTCTTTTTCTTTTTCTTTTTCTTCTTCTTCTTCTTCTTCTACTACTACTACTACTGTTTCAATTTCTTTCTCTACAAGTTTTACTTTCTCTCGAATTTCTATTTTTTACACCAAATATTTCATTGCGAATTGAAAGTTTCTTCAAAAAGGAAAAGACTAACCAAAAGAGTTTCGATCGAAGTGTATGATCAACATACAACTGGAATCAGTACAGGCAACGCATTTCGCACTAAAGAAATGGTTACTAGTTATTACACGTGATCACATCGTGTGTTTGATTACGTATCTACTCGCGAAGAGTTTTTCATTTCTCTTTGAGATATAACAAACTTTTTAATTCGCACAGTCTCCCTTGTGCTTGAAACATTCACGTTTGATCAGGTTCGAGAAGGTTTGCGCAAACGCGAAGCGTGACAAAATGAGGCGAGGCTTTGGCGCGACGCGGCTAGGTGTGGCGGGGCAAGGCAAGGCGAAACGACCCGATGCGTCTCTGTCTGCGTCCAATGAAAGCTATTTCCTGCTAGTGTTGCCAACGTGACCGCGCAAACACGTTTCACGAGCTAGTCGAGTGCGACAGTTTATGCATCGCCACGCCTCGACGTGTACTACTCGCGTTTTTAGTGCTTCGTACGGGTTAATTGTTGACGAAAACCTAGCGGACAACGTTCTCCTAGATGATACGTTTTTTATTGCAATTCGACGATATTGTAAATCCAGCTATTTTATCGTAAATTCATTTCGAGTGCAAATCAAGCTGCGCAGTCTCGCGAAATTGATCACGTTTCGAGATCACGGAAAGGATAGGTATCTCTGGAAAGGCGAAATTGCGAAATTCGAGAAGCAAACATGGCCAAAGGCCGGTTTTGCCGGATTGGAAAACGATAGCGCTGCTATGTGCGAACCTTCGCGCCTTATAAGGTACTAGCGGCCAATTCGTTCACCACGCGAAGCCTGATCGTCTCGATCGATTCTTGATATCGTTTATCGTTGTTGAACGATGATCTGAAATTGTAAATAATTTGCTCTTTGTGTTCCTATTTTCTTATTCGACATGTCTTTAACAAAAAAAAAAAAAAAAAAAAAAGAAAAGAAAGAAATTGGATATAGATAAAATATTTTCAAAAAAGAGAGAAAAGAATAGGATACAGATAAAAAGAAATAACAGAGAGAAAGAAGAACGAAAGAAAGAAACGTCACGATATTTAAACTTAAAACTAAAAGATATACTTTCACTCGTAAATAATGCAAGGAAATGAAATTGTTAGCATTTAATCGCCAACGAAACATAACTTGAAAGTGAGAAGAGTAGAAAAAGGGGTGATAGAAAGGTATCTTACTGGCGCCATATATATATATTCTTGACACTACACATCACATTCTTCTCGATCTAACACTAATTACGATCCAGAAATTATTTTATTAAATGAATAAGAAATTACGACATAATTAAACATAATGAATGTTAGTAAAGATTTGCGTCTGGATTCGATTCACTTCAATGATATGATTTGTTTCGATAAAAAATTTGCATATTTTATATATTTTTCCTTTCTTCCTTTCATACTCGTTAATAAAATTTATTAGCTTTCTAGAAAATTTTATTTTGTTCATTAGAACAATGACAATATTTAGGCAAATTCATCGGTAATTGTGAAAGAAAAAACAAAAGTGACATTTTTCAAAAGACAAACATCGTTCGACGACGTATCAATGATATCAATATTACGCATCGTTTCGAAACAATAATTATTATTTCGATCGATCGATCGAGCATGATTGCCGGTTGTTATAAGTGTCGTAAGGTCGACCGTTAATCATTAACGCGAATTCCATTGTAATTGTTGATTTTTAATATCATTTTTAATATCACGAATGATTTGAAAATTAATAGATAAATGTGTATCGATGTCACTTACTTCGAGCTTGAGCTCAACGATTTTCCATTTCTTCAAAAAATTGTGCTTTCGTTTCTGAATTATTCCATCGTTCATTTACACGTTCATTAAAAATCAATTTCTTTGTAACACACCCTTCATTTAATACAATGTTCACGGTTCATAACTTTTCACGCACGCTTTTTTATTCCGTATTCTGACGATTTTCGATTTTATTTCTTGCAATTGTTGATTCGCGACAGCTGGAAATTGTTCTTGCGCGCGTGCGAATAGAAATTATACCAATAAAATGCACCGGTTCGGACGCTAGCTAAAGTCTGACTGGCGAAGCTCTGTTGGTTCGTTTCACTCGTAAGTTTCCACTCGCTTTCGCGCGTTCATTCCTGTCGGTGTGTATTGGGCCTTGTCAGACCAGGTCAAGCCAGGTCGGGCGAAACACACCGTCAACAACCACCATTGTCAAACTAACTATATTAGATCACAAGTGTATGATATATATATATAGTATGATCACGTGTGCTTGTGTTAAAATCAAACTAAACAAAATCAAAGAAATGGCTATCGTTTTTTTTTTCTAAATTCTTTGTATTTTTCGATAGATGAATAAAGACGAAATATACGTTATATGTTAGGTTAGGTTTTAGTAATTTTTTAACAAAATATTCCTAGAAATGAAAATCATTACATTTTGTTTTTAGTTATCAAATACTATCAAACAATTATCAAAAAAATAATGTTCTGAAACAAAATTTGGATTCTAATTTTAACAGACTAATTGTAGTTGTACATATTATACATTTTATACATCGTTTATGTTTATTTTAATGCAAAAAACTGTCTAGTATTAAAACCAACTGTCTTGTTTGTCAACACCCGGTATATGCATGATATCAAATACAAAACGATTTGGATTATGGAAGATGAATGATCGTAGAGGAGAAACGTCGGGATAGTAAAAAGGGGAAGCATTTACATTTTCCTTTGTGATCAAAGAAAACTTTTGTCGGTCGTCTCCGGCAATTATTTCGAACTAAATATAAACACGTTTTTTATTCTAGTTTAAAAGATATATTTTCAAATCGAATGAAACTTTTATCACTTTTTCTTCTTTGATAAAATATCAAAATTGTAACAATTGTATTATTTATTCAAAATATCCGTATAATAATTTAATTTTTTATTAATCCATGTCATTAATGTGCTTGCAATATGTTTATTAATTTAAATAATTGTACGATACGGTAAATGTATGGAATAACAATAAACTATATAGAAAAGAAATAGAAGATAGATTTCGTCGAAAACGAGAAAGAATATGCTACATTGTAATAATTTGTCGCAGAAGAAAAAATTAATGATGAACAATCAGGACAAGATAGAAAAAAATAAGGAAAGTAAAAGATAAAGAAGACGATGCTAATCCTTTTTGTATGGGAAAACCGAGCGGTCCGTTGAACAAACTAGGAGGCAAGCCAGACTTTCGAATAAGCTATTCAACCAGTGCAATATACCGTGCAAATATAGCGCATCCCGTCTAGACGACGTGACTTTTCCATCTGAACGAAAAGTTACCTCGTTATTTCGTGATTTTCCATGGAAAGCTTGGTGAAGAATTAGGAAAAGCAATAGCGAAACAGTTCAAGTAAATCGGTTCGAGATCATCGATCAATCGTTTTTACTCATTAAATAATGATAGCGATAGTGTCTTATCCAATTGATAAACAACTAAAAGCCTTTTCTTTTTATCATGATCAATAAATAATCGAATAAGTGTTAACGTCTCCTTTTTTTTTTTCTTTCTTTCTTTTTTTTTTACACTCCTCTCAATTTAACTTTTAATGGAGATTAAAATGTTCGACAACATACTATTCCCGATAATTTAAAAACTATACTTAATAATCTGGTTTAATTAAAACCTGTATTCAAAACTAGCCATCTGTCGTTTCTTCAATGTTCAATATACATAATACAGAGCTGAATGATGAACAACCGCGAGAAACTGGTGCAAACTCAACTCGAATGACTTTATCTCGGCATACGGAACGTGCACACAATACTCTTTATGGCAGGCAATATTTTATGATATTCGACATTGTTCAGTTTGTTTAGCTGAAATGTGGAAACTTGAATGTTGAAAATCTATTTTTCTACCGAAAAACTAACGAAAAATATGAAAGATGGATTAATAATAATATTTCATTTATAAATTATAATTTATAATGTTGCATAATTTTCAAATGAAAAAATTCAAATGTTATTTGTATTTCGATCGATTGCAAATATTGATTATTATCGACTATTAACGAGAATTTATTAGATTAATTAGAAAATATATAAAATGAATTTTCAACCCGATAATTCAGAAAAACCTTATCTCGTGCATAGATATTTTATATGAAATTGCAAAGTATGAGAAGACAATGAAAAGTAAAGTTATGTCAAAAAAACATAGAGAGATTATATTGAAAGTTTTATGATATACTTCATCATTGACATAGATTCGCGAAAGATTAATAATAAATAAATATATCGTTCCCTTGATGATATTACGTGATATAAATATGTATACTTATCGATAAGAAAAAAATAAAAACAATGTTGAAACAGTTGTTGCACGTGAGAGAACATTATTGGATGTTTTATTTGATGTTCTTTCGTAATCTACAAACTATTCGTTGAATCGTGGTAAAGAAATTACGTAACAAATCGCGAAATCAAGTAAAAGGTTGAATATTCCAACTCAATATTTCATAACTTACGAACACCTTATTATAGTAAAATTTCTCTATCGTTTTTATTTCATATTCTTGTTAAAAGTTGTTAGTTTTTTTCATATATTATATATATATATATATATATATTGAGTCTAAATTTAGAATTAGAAATAATGAATCGAAATAAAATTCTGAATTAGATTATTTTTATCTATGATCGATTAATTTTTAAATCAATACGAAAATCGTAATCTTCAATATATTTAAAAAAAATATATATACATACCATTTAATCTATTGTATCAAAGTACATGAAATGAATGTTGTGCTAACAAATATAATCAATTTAATCTATATGTCACTAGACGAGTGACAATCACAGTAATAGTATTAATAGCAACAGTATAAGAACAATAGCAATAATCATAATAATTATAATAATAACAAACAAATCAATAGATGCAGAGAACAAATTTCATGAAAAAAAATAAAAATTTATTTCAATTAAAAAGTAACGAAATATATCGATCCTATTTTTTTTTGTTTTTTATTAATTTGTGAAGTGTAAGCTTCATCAAAAAACTTTCAAAAATTGCAATAGATTAAAAAAGAATTCTTTCCATATATAAAGACGGTGTAAATAATTATGAGCGATAAGATACTGAAAAAATACCATTGTTTATTTCCTATTAATAAAATTATAATTCTTACATCTTAAAAAGTAAATTAAATTAACCAAAGAAGGTATCATCGCTGGAGCCCTCTGTCGTGCAATTCTGAAGTAATGATGCAGGGTGGTTAGACATATCGTTAACGGTTTGCTCTCCCCCTAAACTACCTCCAACACCGCCAACATTACCACCACCATCAGCACCACCACCATCACCACCACCACTACCGCCTCCATTTGTATCGGCACCAGCTATGGATTCGCCGAGACAAGCGTCGCCACCTCCGAGTCCGGCGCCGGTTCCAACTACTCCGCTAGCATTCCCTGTTCTTGGAGGTTTTACATCTTGTGAAACTTCGTACGTTCGACTCTGTTGATTCTGCAAGTTGATTTCATTGTAAACGAGCTCTTGAATCTTCAACCTAATAAACATTTGTCTATCGAGCGGTAAACTTTTAAGAGGATTTCGAACGCTCATAAGAAAATGATAAGTGTCATCTTCTTCCTCCTGCGATACGCTTAACCTTTTTTGCAGAGATTCGAATCGTTTTCGATCGACTTCGGTATAATTGTTCTCCATTGCATCCATTAAACTTCTTTTCCTACCAATCTTATTCATTTTAGGTGGAGGCATAACTTGATGCAGGCCATCGTCATTTGAAAGCAAAGATTGACAAGAATCACCATCTAAATCATCGAACTGAGTTTCCTCGTGTCCTTCTAAAATGTCGATTTGAGGCTCGATTTGTGTTTCTTCTGGCGATGATCTAAGGGCTGCCGAACAATTCTGTGAAAGAGTGCATCCAATCACTCTCGAGTTCATTTGATCTCGTAGAAAGAATAGGCTCTTGAACCAAACCCATTTCGAATCGTGCTCATTGGCACCACCATCGCATTTTCCTCGATAAGTTTTCTTTAATTCGTTGCGGAAATTGTCTCGTAAATGCTTCCATTTCGATTTCGCGACGTCCGCTGGAAATGAAGACTATCTATTAATCTTTTGTTTTGAAAAAAATTTTTCGAAATTTTTTTATATAAATTTTTTTCGCCAAAACAATTTTCGCAACTTGTTATTTCGATAATAAACGATAATCAACGAATAAAAATGTAGACAATTAATTAATTTTTAATTGATATGAATAATTTATGAAAAATTAAGAAACGAATACATTAATAGAAAAGCAATGCTATCATTGTTAAATTTTCGATATTTTTAATTGTACAAAGAATAAAATTGATTTCAAACAATATGAATTGAAATCGCAATTGCGGACATAATTTCTTCGAAGTTATTAAAATTGTATTCATTAAAACCTATATATCCGATTGATTTTAATTTGAAACTTTTTAAAATAATTATTTTTCGATAATTCTGTTTTCAAATTAAAAATATATATATATATTCGGATTCATAATCGATTATATTATATATAAAAAAAATCATTGAAGTTGTTCATTCGTCTGCTTCATCACTTGATTAATAAATAAAAAGGATCATATACATTAATGGCATAGATTACAGGAAAGGAAATACATACATACGTAGTAGGGACGGTTGAAATGAGGCAGTGGGAGGGAAAGAAAAAGTGGAAGGGGACGACTCGCAAGAGAAAGAGAGAGAAAGCAAGAGAAGGAGTGAGAGAGGTGTGTGACGCAGGCGCGAATGGAAGAGGTGGAAAGAAGAGAGAAGAGGGAAGAGGAAAGCGAGGCGTATACTCACTGGAGACCTCGCAAGCCCTCGCGATCTCTCGCCACATCTTCAGGATGACGTCGCGATTGTGATAGTTGACGTTTTTCTGGTCCCAGATCGCGGGCCTAGCGTGTACCTCAGTGATCAGTCTCTGGAGATCCATCGTCATCGCGTTCCTACGCGCGTTCGCGTTGCATCTCCTGGACGATCGCTTGCTGGCAGTTCGACGGTTGAGAAGCGTGTTGCCGGAGCTGAGGGAGGAGGCAGCCGCGCGCGAGCCGCTTCCTCCTCTGGTTACGTTTCGTTGAGATTCGTTGGTGTGCGAAAGCCGATTTTTCGGTGGTTTCGTCGATTCCTGGCTGGATATCACTTGCCCTCCTAGCTGTTGCGGTTCTTCTTTGATCGCGAGGATTGTGTCGACAGTTTCGTTGACGGTGCTTACTTCGCCACCGCCACCGCCACCGACGACGACGAGTTCGTCCTCGTCGTCGACGTTACTGTTTCGTCGTTGTTGTCGTCTCCTCTTCTTCCTTTTACGCCTGGCGATACGAGAGCTGCCGGCCGAGGAGGAACTTGTGAAGCCGAGCCGAGCGGAGGATCGCAGGCGAGACGAATCCAGGGCTTTTTCCTCCTCGACTCGTGCACGCGTGCCGCCGTCCATACACGGCCGGTACACGCGCGCGTCCAGCCAGGAAGACGCGCACTCGCCTCAAGAAACAAGTTCGATATGAGTTACTCTGCCAAAAGAAGAGCAGTCAATTATTAAACGCGCGCGCACATTCTCGGCCGCTCGCGATACGCCGCCGATCCGTTAGCTGCTTATCCGCTCGCTAACCAGCGCTACCGCGCCGAACCCAAGTCCGAACCTTCCTTCGCTTTTGCCTATGGTTTCAGCTTCGGCTTCGGCCTCGCTCGAGTTTGCGCTCGGCTCCGCTCGGTTCCGCTCGGTCCGACTCGGTTCCGCTTCGCGCGCCACCGCTCGTCACCGCTTGTCACCGCTTATAATCTCCGCTTGTCTCTCAAACCTTAAAATTTTGCAATCGTTCTACTACTAAAGCTTCAATCTTTTCGTTTTTTCTTTTTTTCTTTTCTTTACTCTATTTTCCTAATTGATATCGTTATATTTTTGACGATGATTCAAATTTGGACTTTCAACCTCAAAATCAAACATATTTTCGAATATTTAAAAATTTTGCCCTGTCCTGTTCTTTTCTGCCTTTATACCACTCACGAATTCACCGATTCCTGTTTCATCTGCTAAACAATGTGCTGCACCAATTTCCCATCGAACCCTTCTTCCTTTCACCGCGATTCTGATATGATATGTTGTGCAAATGCATTTCCGCCTTCCTTAACACGTTGCATTTTGATCGTTCTTATCAATTTCTCTTTATAATACTCATTTCTTGTCCTAATAGGATTGGAAATATAAGAAGTTGAAACAATTATCGTTAATGCGTGGATCACAATGTGTATTTGAATTAAAGTTTTATAGTTGAGGTCGTTTTCCGATCGATGCTAACCCGAAAAGCTGTTTGACAGTTGCTCCTTTCGATGCGTGCATTTGTCACTAAACAAGCGTCCTGCGCTCTCAGTTCGGTATCTCTCGGTACAGTTCGTCTCGGCTCGGTTCAATTCGGCTCCACTCGGTTCCATAGCGACGCGACATTACTGCTTACTGCTATTCGTTTACTTGCTCGTTTCCAATGTCTGCCGTAACGACATAACACGTGATCGCTCAGTTCGGCTTTGGTCGTTGTTTCTCGATTTAATTCGATATACGTATGTAAATCGATATAATTTGATTTGAATCGAATTTAATCGATTCATCTTTGTTTGATTTGATTTAATGAAAATGTTATAAATGTTATATATAGAATATATACATATATAAAACACAGTATATACGAAAGATATAACGCAAAATACAGCAAATTATATTGATGGCTCGTATATGATAATTCTAAACGTATAATATATGTTAAGTATTAAGATGGAATGGGAAAGAATATGGATTATATTTTACGCAAAAGTGAACAATAATAGATTAATTAACTTGCATATGTATTCATCTAACCTATACAAAACGCAACTCAGGTATGATTTGATATTATATATATTATACCATAATCATAATAATAGTTTAAATATACAGATATTAGATATTTTAAAACTTTAATAGAAACATGTATTGAAATGGGATGCTTTATTATTTTACATTTTTATGGTTTACATCAGATATCTTTTTTTAATTTAATAAATTGTATTAGATGAAACAAAGCCATCTAAGATAAGTTAGATTTTAAATAACGCCAAATATTATCATTATTTAATATTTGATTAGGTTGCGGTATCTTCTTATTGATCCCGCTTATAAATTCTTGCAATACCTTCGAAAATTCTGTATTCACCATATTTATAACACTTGTACGAAATGTTTTAGTGATAGCTTCAATTGCAGCATTTACTATTGGATCACCTATATTACCCTTAAAAACGATATTAAATTTGCTGAAAATAAGAAAAATTTTAATCAAAGAATTACTTTTCATATATACCATATATATTACAGGCAAAGTTGATAAAAGCAATTGATAAAAATTTGTATAAATGTAATAATAATTACTTTAGTTTAACAATCTTAGCCATTGGAATAGCAATTTTATAATTGTTCATATTTAATTCCATAATTATTCGTATCTCCATGTCTTTGAAATAACCGTAAATCTTTCCTTTTCTATTGACTAGTAAATCGTAAAGATGATAATTATAATTAGCCTAAAAAGTTAAAATTAAAATATTATTATGATTTTTCTTGAAAATATATTGGATAATATTATGATTCTTTTAATGATTCTTTTACCTCAAGAACATTGAATCCTAAAGTTGCATCTAGAGTTAGAATTTTGTTTTCAAAAGACAAAATAATATCGTTTGCCCGTCTTACATTTGATAATCCTTGAAGAGAACCTTCCGTTAAATTAAGAGTTCTATGGTGAATTATTACTCCTTTCTATTATAAAAATAAAAAGATAATTATCGTTCAAATTTGATGTATTTTGATCAAGTTTATTATATAAATACCAGATTTTGGGATAAATCTTCTAATTTCATAGGATCTAATCTATGTTTTAAAATGAACATTTGAATTGAAGGTAACGCCATGTCGAATAATTTATTGAGTATAGCCGACATCTTTCCAGAATCGACACTATTCTCTCTGTATTTTCAGAAAAGTACTTAAGATTAATCTTTTTTCTTAAAAACATTTTTTTTTAATTTAATATTTTCCATGATTATTGTGAATGAACAACATTTCATTGTTCAATAAATATATCATCATCTATTAAAGATAAGATAATTAATTTACTAATAATAAATTAAAAGAACTTACGCAGCATCTTGAAAATTCGCAAAGCTAGCAGTGAATAAAACGGAAGTAAAAAAAGTAATCGAATTTGAACAATCATAATGAACTGATGTAGACAAATGGTTAATTATTGACGATGTGACTACCGTATACTTATCTTCTTCTATTTTTATTGTGTTTTCGTTGCATTATCTAGTTGCACCTTATCTGATTATAGAATTTAATCAATAAAGAAAAGATTTTATTGACCAAAGAATTCAGAATAATAATATAAATACATCATATCAATTGATATGTCGATAAAAGTAGATATGATCAATAGAATATTCTGATGCAAACTGAATTGTATAGATTTTGAATTAAAAATCTATATATATATATATATATATATATATATATATATATATATATAATATTT